AAACTAGGGCACCAGCTTACTGAACCAACTGCCAAGTTCCATATATTTTAATTGAGGGTGGGGAGAGCCCTTCTCTCCCACTTCCAAGCAGCAGAACCTCTCCAAGTCAAGTTGGGATTCCGGAAGGGTGCCCCCAGTGGAAATATACAGTAGGGTGGGCTCTCTATGGACCCCCTTCTCCCACTCAGAGATGACTTGCCTCCTGAGCTCAGCCGGGGACTTGGAGTTTTCTGCAAGTTCCAGGCAAATGGGAAATAAGATTTGTCTCTCATTGCTGTTTACAGGGTTTGTTAAAATAATGCTAAGAGATTAGCAGATAGTTTTAATTCTCTTTTTCCTGCCCCTTCCACGCCAATCTCCTCTTTTCTTATTTTTAATTACAAAAGTAGCATATACATGTTGCACAAATCACAGAAGAAACGGAGTGAAAAGCAGAAGCCCCTTTCCCACTCCCAGCTCCCCAAACCCACGCCCTTCTCCACTCCCAGCTGATGTTTGCATTTTAATAGAGAAACAATGACAAAACCTGTTAAAACCCCAAAAGAAGAAAAGCTGGAGGCACTGAGAATTAATGGTAGTAATAATTATTATAATAGTAAGTAATAAATTCACATTTGTGGAATGAATACTCATGCTAGATACCGTGATGGTATTTAATATGCGTTTCAAACAATTCAATTTGTTTCTATTGAGAGACATTGGAGGGACCTGAGTACAGATCATCCTTAATCCCCTCACATGCGTACAAAGACTCTGGAAAGGGCCCTGGAAACCTCTTCTCTTTGTTGCACTTCTTAAACTCTCTCCTTCAGCCGAAAGGAGGCCGCTTCAGCAACAAAGAGCGTTTCATATGTACACATCCAACTTTTTTTATTTTTTGAAATCTGAAGGTGGTGAGTCTGAACGAGGGGCTGGGTATGATTAATTACAGCAACCACCTTAACCTGCCCAGAGGCTGGGCCGGGAAGAAACGAGGCCAGGCTGGAGAGAAATTCAGCTGAGGCCTGGCAGGAATGCTAACACACCGTCGTCCACCCGTCCTGCTCTTCTCTCAGCTGCTCGTAAATAGAGATGGAAGATTTAAGGAATCAGTTCCTGTTTCACTGGTTCTGGCCGACCCCAGAATCAACTCCCTTCATTGGAAATAAACAGGATCTTCCTTTTTGTCCCCAGGAATGTGATGGAGGAAGGACTCTATGCAAAGGGCCGCTTCTGCCAAAGAATAATAACAACAACAATGATGACAGTAGGGATAAAATATTGCCCTCTTCATCGAGGGTGGAAGGGGAAGGTCCAGTTGTGTGTGTTGAACCTCCTCGCTCTCTGCGTGCCCCTCTTACAGCTCCAGAATTCACAGGCCCAGGATGTTCAGCCTAGGTCTGATTTGAACTTTCTGTTTTGTGGTCCTCCTGAGTGCACTTGTACAAACTGGGCGACATGCTTCGATTGTGGGTTTGGAAAATAGGATCACAATGACAGCATTTCTTGCCGACACAGCACCGCAAATGTCTGAGTGCAAGTCTGACCGTCTCTGCTGAAGGGTGTGTTTCGGTCATGTCCATCCCTAGTGCCTAGCACGGGCAGAGGGGCTGTGGAGTACGGTGGGCAGCATAGGGGATGCTTGCAGCTCACTTCCCATCGGTCACGGAGTGGGGTGAGGGGACCAAGGAAGAACCTGGGTGAAGGCATGAGCCCTCCTCGTCCCTCAGTGCTCCTGGGGTAGGGGCAGGAAGAGCTGCGCTCAAGATGAAGCCCCCACAAGACCTGTCTCCTGTGCTCCTTCTTGTAAACTCCTGTGTTCCAAAGGAATTATTTGTCTACCTCCTGGGTCAGCCGATCTCAGTGCTCCTTTGCTCTCTCCCCTCCCTGAGGGACAGCTAGCCGCATTACCTGAAGAACTTTACTTATACTATTTCTGTTCAATTTTCCTTTTTGTTCAAGAAGGTGACCAGGAGGTAGACAGATTCCTCCTCCCCACTTTCGGTCTTCCTTGGTCCAAGGGCACGGATTCTTTTTCTCCATCTCCTGTTTCCCTTCTTTCCTTTCCCCCTTCCCTCTCCTTGTCCTTCTCGTCCTTTCCCCTGCTACTCCTTATTCTCCTGTTCTGAAGACTAATTTCAAAAGCTGGGGGCAGTAAGGAGAGGCAAATCCAGTCTCTTTCTGCTGGAGTCTTCCCCCAACCACATTCAGGAGATTACTACTGCTACAGTCTGGGGGTTTGTATTCCCCCTGCCCCTAGTTCATGTGTTGGAATTCTAGCCCCCACGGTGATGTATTAGGAGGTGGGGCCTTTGGGAGGTGATTCGAGCATGAGAGTGGAGCCCTCATAAATGGGATTAGTGCTTTTATAAAAAAGGCCCTAGGGAGCTAGCTCGCCCCTTCTGCCATGTGAGGACACAGCGAGAAGACAGTTGTCTGTGAACCAGGCCCTCACCACACAACAAATCACCACTGCCTTGCTCTTGGCAGCCTACAGAACTGTGAAAAAGAAATTTCTATTGTTTATAAGCCACCCAGTTTATGGCATTTTGTTATAGCAGCCCAAACAGACTAAGACAAATACTCTGCTCAAGAACATTCAATAGCTCCCTATTGTTATCAGTTTACATTTCTAACACTAAAGCCCACCTCAATCTGAGCTATTCTGAACTTTATTTCTTTGTGATTTCTCCATATAATCAATTGGCCTTCTTGATGTGCTCACTGAGTAGAGATGGGAGGGAGTGGGGAGGCATTTCCAGGCAAACTAACAGCTCTTATAAAGCCAAGCAGAGGATGGGAGAAGTGGGAGAAGAGGAGAGGAAGTAGAGGAGGCTGGACTGGTAAGGACTGATGGGATTATAAATGATCTTGAGGAACATACTAGAGATTTTGGACTGTATTATTAGTCGATTGGGAGCCATTGAAAGATTTTAGGTAGGGTCAAACTGGGCTTTTATAATGGTCACCTTGGGGATATGTGGAGGAGTTAACAGTTGTGGGGGGTCTAGAAAGGGGGAGAAGATCCCTGCCCACTTGGGTGTCATTGGTAGATAGTGCCTGCAGAACAGCCTATGCTCGGAAGACACAGCCGTGCATGGAGGCAGGGGCATGGATGAGATGACCTCCAGGAACCCCCTTCTGGTGGCGGAAGGGAGGTAATTCTCCAGTTTCATCTTTGAGTAGGTTTGGGCTTGCTTCCACGAGTCCTCTTCTATCAGTTGAAGCCCTTCTAGGAAGGCTGAGGTGAAAGGTGGCTGGGGAGGGCAGAGTATCATGACTGTCTGGGAAGTGGCCCAGGCCCACTTCCTCCTTTTCAGGCAGGAAAGGCCAACAAAAGTGGACAATGGAGGAGCGAGGGTGCGTCCAGCAGAGAAGGAGGGAGGAGGCGGGGGAGCTGGTCCTTGGGGCAGCCGGCCTTGGCAGGTTCCCTTTGATCCCCTTATCTCTAGAGGATAGGCTTTCTTTTTTGGCCTGCAGGACCTTTTGTTGCAGCATTTCCTGGAACCCCTCAAAGTAAACACAGTCAAGTCTGCATTCTTACAGCCCCACTCTGCTGAATCCGCTCCTCCCAGCCGAGAGAGGGACAGGCGATCAACCAGGCGATCAACCGATTTGTGGACACCAAGGGCCTACCTAGCAATGGGTTAGGACCAGGGCTATCTGAGAGACAATGATGATAAGCATAAAATGCTTAACCACAGTCATAATTGTCATCATCATCAGCACAACCAGTGGCTTCTAAGTGCTGTTTAGACACAGGGGACGATGAAATCAAAAGCCCTGCGAACATCCCCCTCCATGGAGGTGGGGAGCTACAATGATCACTAGGCCCACTGAGTTGAGGCACCTGCAATGTGTGTGAGACCAGGAGTCTGGCATGTTAGGACTCAATTTCCCCTTCTCTATTTGATTGTTGCCTATACCCGCTGGAATGAAGGGAGCAGGGCGGAGAGGCCAGTTAAGGTTGGGCTGGCTCTTAGCCACAATGGGGAGTGAGTGATGACAACCATTTGGTAGCAGCTTGGCGCATCCTGGGGGTGGAGGTGGGAAGGCAAGAATAGGCAGGGAGAGAACTCAGATCCTTCCAGAGAAGAACAGGCATGAGCGTAGGGAGTTACCTGCCCACTGGGCCTGAGTTCATCCAGACAGAGTTAGCAATGGCCACCCACCTCTTACTTCCAGATGGGGGTGGGGGGTGTGGGTAGTGACTGACTCCACTGGTGACTTTAAGTATCACAAATGTCTTTTCCCTCTGAGGAGGGGGAGCATACAGAAGCCTGAAATTTGGGGACACCATCCAATTCTACTTCCACATAGTTTATTACTGTTAACTCCTGGAGGCCACATGGAGAGGGTGGGGGGCGCTTAGCCAAGGCAGCACTTTATTTATAGAGAAATCCAACTCCCCCCACCTTCCCCTCTGCAAATGGAAACCCAGCTCCCCCCGGAGTCTTTTCTGACTCCCCCCCTCCCCACCAAAGCTGGGTAGGGCAGTTCGGGCCAAGAGGCCCATCTTCCCGGCAGTTAAGGGCAAGTTATGTAACCCGGATTGCGAAATTTAGGAAAGGCCCGGCTCTCCTAAATGGCAGGGCTACACCAGGGCTAACGGCTTAGATGGGGCGCCGCATAGGAATCCCCCCTCCCAAGCCTGGCCCCGATGAACGCAATAAAGTTCTGGGCATGGCGTTGTGGAGGACCCCTCCTGGGGCGAACGGGCGCTGGGACGCCCGGCGTGGGTAGGGGGAGCTCAGGAGTGAAGGAGTCACGGGGCGCGGCGTGCTGGGGCCACCTGTGGCAGCTCGCGGCGCGGGTGGTCCGGGCTCACCTGCTCGGGCCGGGCCGGGCGAGGGCGAGGGCGGGGGCGGGGGCGGCGCGCAGCTGAACCGAGGTCCGAGCAGCCGGCCCGCGCCTGGGGCTTCCGCCAGGTCAGCTGACCGCCCAGTGCGGAACTGCGCGCCCGGCTCGCGCGCCCCGCCGCCGCCCGGCGCCCAGTGCCCAGCGCCCAGTGCCCAGCGCCGCGCTCCCGCCCCGTCCTGGCCGCCATGGCCGGGCCCGTGGTCAGTGGAACTCAAGTAAGTCCGCCCCAGCCAGTCCAGCCCCGCCCCGGGCACAGCGTGCGGGGGAGGGACGGCGTGGGCTGCGTCTGCAGGTGGTGAGTGGCAGGTGCCCGGGCTTGCCCTAGTTTGGTGAGGACAGAGCCCGTTTAGGGCCTGGCACACCTCTTGGCTGTGTGGGCGGAAGACCCCCAGGTCTCTCCGTCCCCTCCACTTCCCTCTGTCCGGAGCCCTTCACGGAGCAGGACCAGCCGGGGAACTTCTTCATTGGGCTTTTGGGGGCCCACAGAAAATGTTTTAATTTCTTTCGTAATCCGGATTTAAAAAGAACTTTTCGTTAAAACGTTTCCGTATATAACATTAATATAGTTGTCTTTATGCCAGTGCAGTTTTAAAATATAAATTTATTTATCAATGAAGGAAGGGAACCGTGAAGGCAGAAGTGCCTAGGGCCACCAAAGTCACAGTGTATCCCTGGGGGGAGGGTGGTGGTGGGCTCTGCCTTGACCGCAGGCTCCTTACCCACGGCTGGTGGAGGGCCACTGTCTCCACAGCTTTATTTCCACATCTGATTTCTTAGCTTTTAGAGAAATATAAACCTATACCTAGAAGGTATAAAACCTTGTAAAAGATTAAGTGGTTCTGGACTCTGCTATATTCATGACTTTGCACAGACTATACCATGCTTTGGGTGTGACTCTAAGAAAAACAAATGGAAGCACTAAATAGAAAAATATGGTCATTTGTCCTCTTGAACTCATATTGCTGTTACATTGTTCCCTTGCTGGTTCGATAGTAAACTCACATGAAAGTAATCTCTGTCGCCCAGGTTGGACTACAGTGGCACAGTCATAGCTCACTGCAGCCTCGAACTCCGGGGCTCAAGTTATCCTCCCAGTAGCTGGGACTACAGGCACTTGCCACCATGCCTGGCTAATTTTCCTTATTTTTTTAGAGACTGGTCTCACTATGTTGACCAGGCTAGTCTTGAACTCCTGGCCCTCGCACCTCAGCCTCCTGAGTCATTGAGATTACAGGCATGAGCCACTGTGCCGCCTGCACTTGATTTCTTGAACAGGTGTCTGTAGGGAATGGCAACACTCCGATTTCCATCCTGGGTGATAGACATCCAGTTTCACGTGCTTTCAGCCCTATAGTGAAGCCTCAGGTGTTTTTAGTCATTGCTGGAGGGATGAACTCAGCCACACTGGGACCAGGTGTCTTACCTGCTGGAAAAGCCAAGTGTCTATCTTTAACCTCTTCTCTCTGATTAAGCCAACCCTCCTACTTCCTACTTTTTCCTGCACACCCTGGAGAAACAGTTCAGAGTTTTTCAAGCTCTCCCCTTGGATTGCCTAAGGCAGGTAATGTCAGGTGCAATTGGATTTTGAGATTACTTTGGGCTAAAGGGAATGATTCCCCCTTAGAGGAGGTTCTAGGGGTTTTATAACTCCTACAGATACAATGAGGGCAAACTGTGCATCCCATCAAACTATCCACTGCCTGTTTCTTTTCCAGAGTCCTGTCATTTCATCAGTTATACATACTTATTGAGTGCCTACTATGTACCAGGCACTGTGCCTTGTGTTGGAAATTAGCCCTTCCATTGTCTCTCTGTACCTGCCATTTAACAGAATTTTGTTGCCTGGGAATACTGGCTCTGTCCTTAGAGCCTGTGAGGAGAGAGCTAGAAGGTCCAGAGTTCAGACATGAGTGGGCCAGGGAGGTACTAGCCTTTGGGAAAGGTTAAAAATGATGACTGTTGGGCTGAGTATGGTGGCTCATGCCTGTAATCCTAGCACTTTGGGAGGCTGAGGCCGGAGGATCGCTTGAGCCCAGAAATTTGGCACCAGCCTGGGCAATGTAGTGAGATCCCATCTTTTAGAAACAAAATTAGTCAGGCATGGTGGTGTACACCTGTAGTCCCAGCTACTTGGGAGACTGAGGCAGGAGGATGGCCTGAGCCCAGGTGTTTGAGGTTGTAGTGAGCTATGATTATGCTACTCCACTCCAGCTCTGGGTGACAGAGTAAGACCCTGCCTCTAAAAAAATATATATATATATAAAAGACTCACCAGGGAAAAGGGGCTTCTGGTAGTTAACATGATGGCCTAGAGGGAGGGTCTGGATGAGAGTATCTCTGCCCTCTCTTGGAATATCTGCTGAAGAAGGAGGGTCTCCTCCACCCGCCAGACCCAAAGTCTCTGTATTTTCAGATCCAACATTTTCTGAATGTAGCTTCTTCCATGTTCATGGAGGACTTGGGAGGGGGCTGAGAACTTTTGTGGGCCTCCTTTTCCTTTTTTCTTCCCCCATTTCCCAAACTTGATTTTTCCTGCACTCCCTGTACTTAGCCTACTCCAAACAGCCCAAAGTCATTCTGTGAAGGGTAGGTGAGACATTTTGGGCCCTTGGGGACTATTTACAAAGATCAGCTGCCTGGGGAGGAGCTAAGAAATGCCCATGGGGTGTTAGTGCCCCATTTCCTAAACCACCCAGGCCAGTGGATTTGAGTGCCTGCTCCGACCCCCTCCTGCCTTAGGGTATCTGTTAGCTTCCTGGCCCAGGCCGTTTCTAATGCCAGCTATTATAAGTAGCACCTGGCATGTGTGTAGTATGGTACTTTTCAAATTTTGTTAGAGCTGCCTTAAAGGGGTCAGGGACTTCCCATGAACCCAGGGTGTTGATACAGTTTTTATTATAGTGTTATTCAGATGTGCCAAACATAAAACCAAATACAACTTTTTTATATTTAGAGACCTACAGGCCTTTATTAAAGGGATGGTTTAAGTGCAAAGAAAAAAACCCAATAAAATTAATTTATTGAGATGGGTGATGTTAGGCTGAAGCCAGGTCACTGCTTTTAACTCCACTGTGGACTGGCTGCTATTCAACTGGTCTTTAGGAGCTCTACAGGCCTGTGGTACTACTGTGCTTGGGGACATTGCAGTCTTCCCATCACTGTTTTCTGTAAAATCATTTCCTTTGATGTGACTCTGACTTCATTTGGCTTCTTGTGGCTTGAATACATCATTTATGTTCAGCATTAAGTCCTCTTTCTTCTTTTTCCACTAGCTTAGTGGCATCAATATGATTATAGACACAAATGCAAACTTGGGATTTGGGCACTGAAATCTTGCACCCAACAATCACAAATCCCTTCCGTAGGGATGTTTATCTGATTCAACAACTATTTAACTGAGTGGCCACAGGTGACAAGGACGGTGCTATGTGCTTTTAATATGTTATCTCATTCCTATAAGTGCAATGTGGATAATATATGGCTCATGGGGCTGTTTATGAGTATTGAATAGATAACAAGCACATGGTGGGATTTAATGAATGTTACTTATATTATTTTTAACACCTTTGGAGGAAGTTAATGTTAGATTAGTTACAGAAGAGGAAACAGAGACTTTGAGAGATTGCGACTCATCCAAGACAATGCAGCTAGTAAGCAGCAGCCCAGGGACTCAAACTTGTACCTAGGGTTGTTTCTGCTCTGACAGAGCTTCTAGGATCCCCCACCCCTGGCTAGGAGCAGGCATCATAAAACATTGTCCTCTCAGTTTGACTACTGGTAAACCCACCATTCCCAGAAATGCCCTGGGAGCCAGGCAGTCCCAGCGCAAAGAGAAACCAGCGGTCTTCTGCAGTTTGGTTATTTCCTGCAGCTTCTGCTCAGAGGGGTTGGGTGTGCACGTGGGTAGGGATCCCTCCCATTCTCCTTTCCCTTTCTGGTGTTCCTCTCTTAGGGGTCTTCAAGTTGCTATATTTTCATTTGCCTGGTAATGGTGTCCCTTCCTGTTATCATTCCACACAGGGTGGAAGTCACAGGGTACAAATTATATAAGGTAGGAATGTTAAAAGTTCAAATCTTTGTTCAGTTTAGTCTAAATCAAGATAATTGACTAAATGCAATGACTTCTAGTTCTGGACATGCTCTTGCTTCTGTGCCTCTAAAGATCTATTAATCTCTACATCCCTTCTCCCATTTGGGGAAGAAGCAAAGTATTTTTGGTCTGGTTCTTGCCTTGTATCGTACATTAGGTGGTCCTCTTCTCTAAGAAGCTTCCCGACATCCTGAGAAGCAGTGTCTTCCACTCAGAAACACTTCTTAAGTCTCTGTTCTAGTTGTGAGTGTTGGTTGCAATGCCTGGCCATGGTTGCTTGCTGCTCTTAAGTCGTCTGTAGCCAAGTTGAGCCCTTCTGCCTGGTTGGCTTAACTTACATCTCCAAAAGCTTCCACTTTACTGCAGGGGTGGCCTAAGCATGCAAATTGCTTATCAAGTTGGTTCTCATGCTGTATTTTGGAGACTTGATCTTCATCTCTGTGGAATGGGAACAAGTGTTTAGTTTTGCGGGGATGTTGTGCGGTTAAGACCATGTAATAGAACAGACTGATGAAAGTCTTATCAGACGGGTTGTGAGTCATCTGAATGCTTTGTGGTGATAGCTCTTTTTGGTGCTGCTCTTTCCTCTGGAGGGGAATCCTACAGAAGGAAAAGGGGAGCAAATAGCCCTCTCTTTCCCCAGGCTCTAATACACTTCTTGGGCCTTCAGTGTGGTATCACGGGGTAGTTCTCACCCGTACATCTAGGAAGACTCATTTTGAAGTCAAAACATGGTGCTAGGTGCACCATTGGCGTTTGTTAATCAAGACATCCGCATGTGTATTTATAAGTGCTCTATGGCCCCCACATTGGAAGTCCTTATTCATGGTGCAAGACTTGATCCAAGCTCTATCATTAAGAAACTGTGTTATGCTGGGCAGGACTCTGGAGTCTTAGTTTCCTTGTATAAAACATGAAGGGTTTTGATAAACTGCGTCCTTACTAGATCGAGCCCTTGGCTAGTCTATGAGGAAGGAGCTCATTTGCTATGTGTAAAGCTCAACTTCTCTGCTGTATAATATCTCAGAAGTCTTGAATGATGATGATAAGTGCAAGATGGTTCTGCAGGCTGGGATGAACGGGATGGGCTTTCTGGTGAGCACCATGGTCATGGGGGCCAATGAGAACTTACAACACAGAAGAAGCTGCTGTGATTGGGTGGCTGTCCCAAGGGAAATCGAAGTCCCCAGATTGATTGAGGCCCCATATCCCCAGTCTCTCCTTGGTGTATGATTTCCATCTCAGCTTGGCAGCAGAATTTAATGTACTACACAAGGAGCCGTGAAGAGAGATGAATCCCATGGAGAAAGGGGAGAAATTGCTAGATTGAACTTAGAGTCTTTTATTTTGCAGCCTGTATCTTCCTGAGTCAAAATTATTTTACTAGAGTCAGCGACTTTTCTGTCCCCTCTGTCCTCTTGGAATGAAGTTACTGAAGGAGAATGAATAGAAAGAGAGTGAATACAGGATGTTGTATTGTCAGTTGTTTGTTCCCAGTGGCTAGAAGCTTGAGCGATGACTTGTGATATCGAGGGTGCTAAGTTTCCATGTGGCTTGTGTTAGGTAGAACCATGTGGAAGTGCCATTTTGTAGTTTTAAAATGGTTGGATATTGGTAACTCATGGTTCAACCTAATATCTAAGGAGGTAAGATGGCCACCGTATTCTTATTCCCCTTTAGGAAACAACCCCCATGGGAATCTCTCATTCCAAGACATCTTCGTGTGTATGTGTGGAAGAATGTGGATTTGTAGGGAGACTGGATTAAGGCTATAGCTGTGTGAGAGGCCTGAATTTCTAGCTGGGGGTTGAGTGTGTTGTCTTTTAGGGAAATATCATGTCTTGTGGCCCACTGGCCAATTCAGACCCATGGGTTTGTTTTATGGGTTTTGTAATTAGTTGTCAATCTGCTCGCAGAGTGCTATCTGTAAAAATGGTTCCAAACATTGAATGGTTAGGGTAGTGAGAAAGCTCACTGACCTTACAGTCAGAAGTTCTGGGACCAAATTTCAGTTTGGCTTTTTAATATTTGGGCACACATTAGGTACTTAATAATGAATAGAAGAATGCCCAAGGAGGCAGCGCTGTACACAGAGTGGGGTTGATTGTCAAAGGCTCCCTGGAGGAGGGAGGTTTGGAAGTTCTGGCCACATGTCATTGCCCTGTTTCCTTTGAATCAGCTTTTTCAGAGCTTGGAGGACATTTTATACACAGTGGTGATGGAATGGGATTGGTGGTTTGGGGAGGCTTTTTTGTCTGGGCCCTGAAGGGTGAATGCTGGTAAGTGCATCTGCTGTGTCTTGTATGAGGTAAGGTGCATAATAGGGGCTGGGGGTGCAGTGGAGGAGAGGCAGAGGGCAGATGTTGCAAAGGTCCCCAAGCGGAAAGCTGATTGTTGCAATTATATTAACGTGCTCTGACATTGGGGTTTCTTTTGGATACCTGAACCTGGTCAATTTTAGTCCAATTTCCATTGTGCTGGGATTAGTCTCCATCATGCTAACTGTACCAGGAAAAGGGAGTTATTGGCGGAGTCCCTGAAGCCTCCAAAGCTGATTTGACCAGGAAAACAGTCACAAATGTGGCCTTTTTGTGTGTGAGGAACGTGCATTTAAAGTTGCGGAAGCAATCATCGGATCAATGAGGCAGGTTTGGGAGCAGCTGGGTGATTTCTGTTTGCCACATTGTTTCTGTTCCATTTAATTTCCAGGTGTCCTACATAGGCCAGGACTGCAGAGAAATTCCAGAGCACCTTGGCAGGGACTGTGGACATTTCGCAAAGAGGCTTGATCTGAGCTTTAACCTCCTAAGGTATGTAACCTTCGAGAGATGCAGGCCAGGCCCGGGAGGCCCAGCTCTCCTGGTACTTAAGGGGCAGCAGATGAAAGTCAAACATTCTGGCTTTGCCTTGGGTGTCTTCTTATTCAGTGCAGAGCCCTGAGACACGTGGAATCACACCCTAAAGGTCTGCCTCTGCTTCAAATGATACCTTGGTTGGCCTTTTTGTGCCGCTGAAGAGGCAGTGAGCATTTGAGCGTCATCCATCTCACGGCAGTACCTAGGAGGGACCATCGTATTTTCACTTTGTTCTTTCCCTTTCTCATTGATATTTGTGCGGACAAGTTAGAATTCTCTTGGGAAAGGACTGAGATGGAGCCCACAAGAGTATTTTGGGCCATTTCGGTGTGCTTTTTTGGATAACCCCATCTCCCAAAGCATTTGCTGAAGTCACGGGTAGGCTGTGTGTATGTGTGTGTTTACTTTACTTTCTGTTGCCTTTTTATGAATTGAAGCTTTAAATATTTGTGCTGATGATTTCCCCCAGATGGTGTTTCAAAGGAATTCAGACACTGTTGATGTGGGGTGGATGGGAGGGAAATTCTCTGACAACTGTTCCAGTCTTGGCAAAAGGCAAGTGTGATCTTGTATATTATTCCAATGGAGAATACAGGCAGTTGTTTCATTTCTTCCTACAAGGTTATGAATTGTGACTGGTTTGGGGGCTTGGAGGAGAGAAGTGGGAGGTCCTTGGAAAGCAGGTTATCAGTGGGGTAAGTGAGTACGGTCAGAGTGGTGGCTTTTCCTCCTGACAATCTGGTTCCATGAAGGGCTTTTTTCTGAGTGCCCTCCGTGAGAGCTGTGCTGTCCTCTGAGTGGGACAAATTGTCATGGGGTAGAAGGAGAGACGAGGAGCCCAAATCCCGTTCCGGGCTCACGTGCTTTCCTGCTTCCAGCTCTTAGAGTCTTTTCATTTCCAACATCTGAGTCAGGATGCTTGGGAATGAAGAATTGGAGGGAAAACTCAGGGCAAGAAGGCACCATGGGGTAGAGGAGAATTTAATTTTTTTTTTTTTTTTTGAGACAGAGTCTAGCTCTGTTGCCCTGGCTAGAGTGCCGTGGCGTCAGCCTAGCTCACAGCAACCTCAAACTCCTGGGCTCAAGCGATCCTCCTGCCTCAGCCTCCTGAGTAGCTGGGACTACAGGCATGCGCCACCATGCCCGGCTAATTTTTTCTATATATTTTTAGTTGTCCAGCTAATTTCTTTCCATTTTTAGTAGAGATGGGGTCTTGCTCTTGCTCAGGCTGGTCTCGAACTCTTGAGCTCAAACAATCCGCCTGCCTCGGCCTCCCAGAATGCTAGGATTACAGGCTTGAGCCACCGCGCCCGGCCGAGAATTTAATTTTGAGACAAGCCAGCAGAGCTTCTCAGGCTGGTGCTCAGAAGCACATGGCCACAATGAGCTGCACCATCTCCGGGAAAAGGGCGTCCAGAAGGTTGTGGTGCAAAGAGGGAACGCTTTCCACGTGCTTTTCCTGACTTCTAAAGGGTTTATATGCGTCAGGCGAGATGTGAAACTGAAAAGTCACAAAGTAATGCGCAGGGGTGAGAGGAGTCAGATAAACAAATGCTGACTTAGAGAAATGAAGGATGGGTTTTGGTCCCAAAAGGAGAGGACCGAGTGCAGGGCCTGCAGTGGACTGTGCCTGAGTCCTGTGTGCACCTTGAAAGCTCCCCAGCGCAGACTCAGGCAGAGGCTCCTTCGCCTGGGCACTGGCAGGAGATCCTTCTGTGTAACTGGCCTTCAGGGGGTTGGGGCATCGTGACTCGGGGTCATGGTTGCCTTGTGCGTGGCTGGTGGGAGCCCAGACGTGGGCGTGACGAGGCTGGGTCCTGCGAGGGAGGGTGTCAGTGGGTATGGTCATGGGCCTGGACTGTCAGGTCTGAGGACACAGAGCCACCTTTGTCATGCCCAGGGGCACCACCTCCCTTTGACAGAGGAGGGACAGGACCACGTGGGGGTGGGTGTATGTGAGGCAAGAAGGGGCTGTAAGCTCTGAGGGGCTGGATCTGTACAGATTTGTCATAGGAAATGACAGGCCCTGGATGCAGGAATATTTAGTGAGAGGGTCTGTAAAGTGGATTCCGAAGGAGAAGTTAAGATATATATTTTCCTTTGTTGAGAGGAGAGAGATTCTGTAGTGTTGAGTTTGAGGAGCTTTCACACCTGGCCAGGAGCCTGTTCTCACTGGCTGTGCTGTGGTCAGCGTGTGAGCTCCACACTGGGTTGTAGCTGAGTTTGGGCGGGGATGAGTGATGGAGGTCTCAGGTTCAGAAAGAATCTATGGTTAGGACTTGGTTAAGTTGGAGGGGCTGGAGGGAGTTACAGACCAGAACAGAGAAAAGCACTGCTGACTTGACTTGGGAATGCTGGGGATTGGATCACCTTTGACCTTCTTTATTCGCCTAACTGGGGGACGAGGGGAGGCGGCACTATTTCTCTTGGTGTTAGAGGAAGATTTGAGCGTACTCAGACACTGGTCTCTATCTCTGCCTTCTTTGAGCAGAATCAAAATTAGGACCTTTTAGATGTTTAGGTAATTCCTTTTAAAAAATAAACAGGGGAGGGGGGAAAATAGGAAAAAGGGAAGAGAAAGGAGATCGTGAACTTACCTTCCAAATGAATGGGTATGTAACAGATGACCCAAGCCCACTAGTCTTCAGGGGTCATGATATCCAAATGAAATATTTTGAGTCTGCATCCTATGTTCGATAGAAAGTTTCTCCCTAGGCCCCTGTCACTATTTCCATGGTATTGCTGGGAGCATATGTCCTAGTCAGTCTGTGCCTGGATTCACTCCTGCTTTGACCATCTCTGAGCTCTATTGCTGTTTTTCTCCCTCTTGTCAGCCTGCCTGGCCCCACTTGGGATGCTCCCTTCATTTCTCCAAAGCTCAATACAATTTTATGTGTTATAGATTTGTATTGCCACTGGAAGGTATAGGGCGTAGGGGGGTGGTAATTGTGGCACACAGCAGGAGACAAGTTTGGGATAGCACTGCTTCTGGAAATTTTTTGGATACTCCCTGCCACAGAGAATTTCTCCCTGGTGGTGTGTCCTTGAGGGTCAGACCTGCATGTGACCCAGCACCTCTTTCTCCCGGCCCCTTTCTCTCTTTCCCAGGTCACTTACCCTCTTTCCAGAGCTGCCCTCAGAAATACGAAATTCTTTTCCTTTTATTATATACAGAAAAATTAACCCTCTCCGCTCCTTTTTAGGACATCTCTACTGGTTTCCTTTTCACCTCTAAAGAGCCATATCAGGATATTGCTTTAAACAGAACAATATCCCCTAATAAAAATTTTTCTACTCCCCGAGGTTGCAAGATCAGCGACAGTCTGTGTTTTAGGCCACGCTTTGTTTTTAGACAAGGTGTTGTGTTTGTTCCTTTTTTGAATAGCTAATACATGAACGTGGCACAACCTTTAGAAGGAACAAACATGCAAACAGTGCGAAGAAAGTCTCCTTTACTCCTGTCCTTTAGCCACTCAGTTCTCCTCTGCGCTAACTACTATTACTCAGTTTTTGTGTAGTCTTCCAGAGATATTCTATGCGTATACTAACAAGTGAATTTCTTATTTTCCAGCTTTATTGATATGTAATTAGCAATTAAAAATTGTATATATTTGTGGTGTACAATGTGATATTTTGATATGTGTATACATTGTGAGATGCTCACCACACTCAAGCTAATTAACATATCCATCAGCTCACACAGTTATTTTTTGTGGTGAGAACATGAAAGATCTACTGTCTTAGCATATTTCAAGTATGTAGTATGGTAATATTAACTATAGCCACCATGCTGTACATCACTTGTATATTTAAGCCTTTAATCCATTCTGAGTTGATTTTTGTATGTGGTGTGAGATAAGGGTCCAATTTTATTCTTCTGCATATGGATATCCAGTTTTCCCAACACAAATTATCGAAGAGACTATCCTTTCTCCTTTGTATGCTCTTGGCACCTTTGTTGATCAATTGACTGTAAGTACATAGATTTATTTCTGGGCTCTCTTTTCTGTCCCCTTGGTCTGTATGTCTGTTTTTATGCAAGTACCTTACAGTTTTGATATTAATAACTTTTGCTTCGTAGTATATTTTGAAACCAGATAGTGTGATGCCTCCAGCTTTGTTCTTTTTGTTTTTTGTTCAAGATTGCTTTGGCTATTTGGGGTCTTCTGTCGTCATATGAATTACAGGATTTTTTTTTCTATTTCTGTTAAAAATGCCATTGGAATTTTGATAGGGATTGCATTGAATCTTGATTGCTTTAGGTAGTATGGGATATCTATTTATTTGTATATCCTTTAATTTCTTTCATCGATGTTTTATAGTTTTCACCGTACATGTCTTTTACCTCCTTGCTTAAATTTCTTCATTTCTTTTTTGGATAGTTCTTTGAACATATAGGGATACAACTGATTTTCATAGGTTGATTTTGTATCCTGCAATTTTACTGACTTTCTTTATTCTAACAGTTTTTCGATGGAGTGTTTATGGTTTCTGATGTGTAAGATCATGTCATCTGCAAACAAAGATAATTTTACTTCTTCCTTTCCAATTTGGATGTTTATTTCTTTTTCTTGCTTCATTGCTCTGGTTAGCATTTCTATACTGTACTGAATAGAAGTTGCAAGTTGTCTTCTTCCTGATTTTAGAGAAAAAGCTTTCAGCTTCTTATTGTTGAGTGCGATGATAGCTGGGGGCTTGTCATACATGGCCTTCATTATTTTGAGGTAAATTCCTCTATACCTAAATTGTTGAAAGTTTACTGCTCCATGCAGAAGATCTTGGATTTCAGACTGTTATTTTTATGACCCTTCACTCAAGTTACTGGAGCCAGTGTATCCTATCAGGTTAGAAGTTGGAAAGGGAAGCAAGAAAACTGACCCAAATAAAATTTCTGGCTCTCTTAAAAGGATCAAACATTCCTCTCTTCACCCTTTCAGCCCAGATCTGATTCTTTG